AAATATCAGAATCATCCTCAGGGCAGGAAGGTTCTCGGAAACTCAATGCAAGCAGGGGGTGGTGATAAGAGTGCTCGGTGGCATATTCTTTCTTGTCTATTACTGTGTCACACCAGTAGATTGCAGTTGCCATCGTCGGATAGAAGTGCAGCGCGGCACGCATACTGGCTGTGTTTGAGTTCTTAGCAGGAGGGGTCTGATTGTTTTATTTAGGCAACAGGCGAATCGTGAGTCTAGTTTGCGACGTCCGCGAGTTGCTACGGTCGGCTGGCAGCATTAGAGCCCAAGGTGATTTTACGGAGGAAGCCAGTTGAATTGTTACTGCTCACCACCATTTGGGAAGATGGCTGGTTATTTTGAGGAGCACAACTGCACACCACTGCCCGATGGAGCAGCCCCAGATGCTCTGCTGCAGTTTGCCAGGTATGTCCTGTCACTTAATTCAATTCTCCTTGTTAGTCTATTTGTTGTGCCAGAAAAAGATGAGCAGGGAACTTTGGGTACTCCTGTGTGTGGTTATGCACACACCTCAGGTTTTTGATTGGGTAAGACAAAATATATTTGTAGCACTGTTAGCCCTAAATTTATAATAATTTGCAGTGACTGATGATGCAGATATGTAAAATCTTACCTGCTGTCACTATTTACCATATTTTATATGTTGACTGTCAGTGTTTGACCACTTAACCTTTGACTTCCATGCCTTCAGGTTCCTGGCACAGTCTGGTTGGAGCACAGTATTTGAGGATGACTTCAGGAACCTTATGGATGGCATTCCATCCCCACCGGCAGCCAAGGCAGTGGTAGAGGGCCTTGCACAGATTGAGATCACAAAAGAAGGTACAGAATCTTGGGTTTGATGTTGTGTATATGTCTCTTTCTGTCCCTGCTCATTATGTGTGGATCTCCTTCTATCACTACAGATGCTTTTGGGTGCACTTTAATTAATTTATCATGTGTTTCTGGCAGTAGATGTCATGCTGCATTGTTCAGGTAGATGCTAGATATTTGCCTCTAACTGTATCTCATATTCCTAGAATCTAAAAACTCAGGATATATGGCAAAGTCATATTACATACATACTGCCCTGAGGTCTTTTTTGTTACATGGCAGAGTGTATCGGGTTGATGTTAGTCTTTTGAAATATATGCCATGTTGTCACAGAAGGCTCAAGTAGTGCTCTTAACAGAATACTAGGCCTGAAACTGAGAACCCTGGACTTGGGGTACCCTGCACCTTGTACAGTCATTCACTGGCCCTGCCACACTGGAATGATGTGCCAACCATGGTAACAGCAGCATGCAGCAACCAACAACATACTTTTCATTGTCATGGCAGGTGTGCAGTGTCCAGTCTGCCTGAAGGAGTTTGACTTCTGTGAGGTGGCCAGGCAGTTGCCTTGCAAGCACCAGTACCATGCTGACTGCATTGTGCCCTGGCTTCAAAAGGTAGGTGTTTCTTCAAAAGGAA